GAACTTCGGTAACGGAATAACGAGGTTTACTATTAAAATTCGTAATAACGATCAAATTTAAATATAAAAAAAAAGGGGAAGTAACACTTGCTTCGGTATAACAAAAATTCGGTATAACGCATTTCGTTATAACGGGGTCCGACTGTAGATTTTTATCATTAGATAAATTTAAGTTAGAACACATTTCACAATTTAAAAATCAGAGTTTAATAAGCGAACTGACGTTTATGGCAATAAAAAACGAACATAGGAGCCGTTCGTTTGTTAGTAATGGATCTAGAAACCTTTTTTCAAACCTTCTCCTTGATCTACCCCTTTCCAGTCGCTTTCCCCCATCGTTATTTATGACCATACTATTGTTTTCTTCGTCAACTGCTACTTTTTCAATAACTTCAGCCACAATATCGGCGACTTTTTATCGTCTTCCGTAGCGCCTCCTTATTCTCGATCAACGGTTTCGGTTTCCCTTAACTGACGATGGTAGCTGACTTTGTATTGGCTTATGCACTGTCGCTATTCTGCGGATTTGCCTTGCGCGTATTTTTATTCAATACCACCCCACCATATTCTGCTAAAAAGATTGAAGAGGCTCGCAGAAAAGTGTTAGCAACGCTCGGATACTTGACTTTAGAATAGTAATTTTGATTAGTATCAATTGAATTGATACGAAATTAGAAAACTGCCATTCGGAGTTTGACTCCGTATACCGCGGCAGCGCTGATACGAAAGACTTGTCGGATAGAAAATTTATCAGGGAATGAACGAAGACAATTACGCGGGTTTTATTCGAATATAATCATGTATTCTAAATGTAATAAAAAGATTGATTAAATAATGAGCTGAACATGTTGACGACATTCATTGTCGGACCATAAAACTCCGCAGCGTTTGTACACACGCTGTGCAACTTGATTTCAATGATTGTGTCACCGATACTCGAGATATTATCCGGCATGTCACACATAAATTTTTCTTTTTCGGGTAATAATTTGACGAATAGAAAACTTTGGCGTAAAATTTCGGTGAAAAAGGAAACGTGTAACATAGATAAATTCCCGATCGGGTCAGGATACGTCAAAAATGTCCTTGCGCATAGTAATAGACGGTTTGATCGACCATGTAGCCTAATATTTAATGTTAAAGCCATCACACAAGTGTTACATACGTGTAACGCACTTTCACAGATATACTTTATTTAAACCGACAAAGGCGATAAGCAGAATGATTTTTTTTACTGCAAAATGAGTCATTCAGAACTAGACATAATTGTCAAATGTTCGAAGGCGATTGTAGCGGTAAGTCAGCAGCAAGTTATTAATTTTCAACGAGAACATTTATTGACTCATATTATTAATTCCCATTAGTTTGCCGTTATCGGCACAGGGCTCACGCTCTTCTATATTGTAAAGAACCAAGACATTGGCCTATCTTTCTATAAACTGCTAATTAATGTAATGGCTCTAACCTATGCCATAGCAGGCATCAAGTTTGATGGGAGCGATTTTGCTACTTTTTATGTTATAAACATAGCTTACGAATTGACGGTAATGATGATATTGACATTGACGTTAAATACACTAAAGCGAACACGATTTAGTGGTTGCGATGTTGTTTTTGGAACAGCTTTGCTGATTGTTCTTTGGTCGTCTGGGGTAAGTTTTACATCGTTAATGTACTCTGCGTCACATATCAGTTCTGACGCCAAATATTTAACTTTTGTAGGCTGGTTACTTGGCAATCATATTGAGCTCGAAATGGTATGAAGTTATTGTCTCTGATGCAATCGTGGTTGTAATTTTTATACTTAGAGCGATACTAGTTATATTTGTTGCAATTCGATTGTTATATCATAACAGAGAGGTTACAGTTGATTCACCAAAAGCGTTGGTATTTGCATTGAATTTGGTTAGACTTTTGTACATATTCGTCTGGTTGGTATTAGACGGACCAGCAGCTCTTCATCATGAAGGTTATTCACTTATAGCTTCGACCATAGTTCTTATCATAATATTGGCTTTAACGTCTGTCAATATCGAATATCCTGAGAATTCACTCACTTTCAACATTACACATTTCCCGCGTGCAGAGGCTTGAAATGTTGTTGAGAGTAATAAAAAAAATTAAAGATAGTTATTAATCAAATGAAGTTGAATCGTTTACATTAATGTCAGCTATGATAGCAGTTTGCGATATTAAGTTACACTTAAAGCGTCTATTAGTGGGGACATAATTTGGCTTGAAGAAATATGTGGCAACTCAATAATATGGTAGTGTTTTGCAATATGAGACATCTTGTGTTATGTACTGTTAAAGAAAGGAAGCATTATTTACAAAAAAAGTCTGGTTTGTCTACCTTTTTTTCGCGCTTAAATTTAGGAGTAAAATTTTAAAGCCGAAAAGGCGAATATTATATACGAACATCGTGATATAAATGTTACAATGTTATTTTCTTTTTTTTTTTTAATACATAGTCAAACTCGATAAGATAAATCGACTGGCGGTAGTAATGTTCTCCAGTTACAGAGGTTTTATTTACCGAGACTATATGGTTATACTGTAAGCATCAACACAAAGAATTACTATTACTATCGATGGAAAAGTTTTTCACTACCAGATAATGAATAAGATATATTCTTGCGCGCATTTTTAATAGAAAAACCGGCAGTGGTATTCAAGATTTTCAAAAATTAAAATTGTCTGAAAGCACATATTTTTAAATTATATTAAAGGAGTAAATATTTAAGTAATCGAGGCATTCAACTTTGGAGATTATTTGTTAGAAGCGTGAGAATTCTCTTCCCATACAGTTTTATCGAGGTCTATAATTATCAAGTATTTTTAATACAAAAACTCATGTGGAAAAATTCTCTACTTAACATTAGTATTAGTGCAGTTTATTTTAAAGCGACTCTACTTTATCGAGTTTGAAATAAGACATGTCATTTTGACAATACTTATGTAAGCGAATACGTAATGTCATATGCACATATCGTTCAGCTTTTTCAATATAATAAAATAGCATTGCGTAATATTGTAACCAAATGTTATTTGAAATGATAAATGTGAGTTAAATTCTGTCAAACATTACAGCATTACTATTATGTAACGCCTTGAGATAATTAAAAAATATTCATGTCAAACATTTCAAATTTTAATCTTACTACTACTGCAAAGTTTCGATTAAATGTCAGTTGTAGCGATGAGTACATTATTTTTATCTCAAAATTGTTTTAAAAAAAAGATATGGAGCATTTTCCAGCTGGCAATTAGAGTACGAACCGTTCGGAACCTTTTACATTGCATTCAATTTATAAATTACTAGCTTAAAAGTGTTGGATTATATTTAAATTCTTGAGAGTTATTAATTAATGTTCTATTGTTACCTTCGCGTTGTACTTATTTTCCAGAGTAAATTACCATATAATTAGCATATCAAAAATTTATCTACTTACGATGAGTTTTGTAATTAATTTCTCGAATAGTTGGACATAAAATCTTTGCGGAACACTAGAATTTTTGTTGTTTATTACATAAATACAAACTACTTTGTTTCTTTCACATGCTCTCTACGTGTTAACCGGCACAAAGTGGATTACTTAACAAATCGATGTTATTCAAATTATAAATTTAGTGACACAAACTACATCAAAAGATCTACCAGTTACTCGTGTCAATTTGACGATAACACATGTAAAAACCTCAAAATTATTGTGCACCATACCACACGTAACACAGCTGCTCAAATGTTGCAAATGCTAGTAAGTGTAAATGAATAGATGCATTCAAGCTGTTTTTGGATAATGAGCACTGCAAAGCGCAATTAGATCGGCGTACTAAGAATCAAAATTGGCTCGATAGAAAGTGGAAGGTTGTCATTTGAAAGATAAATCTAAATTATCATATATTGAAAGGAATAATCTACAAACAGTCTGGAGAATGTCCGGTACCGCAATATCGAGAATTTTCCCCAGAATTAAACATGGAATTGGAGTAGTCATGTATGGAAAAAGTTGGTAGTAATTAAATTCGTGATAATTAGAAATATATAGTATTACAATATTTAAGTATGTTGTTCAACGGGTCATGCTGTTACTGGTCAAATAATTTAGAAAGTTAACAATTAATTATCTCAACCGTTCAATTTAATCCTACTGGATAAATTACAAAGGCATGTTTGCAAACGAAAAACAAACAAACCAAAAGTCAATTAATTATGGGTATTGATTACGTACTACAATCAAATCTTAAATATGATATTGGTACACTATGTTTTCCGTCGATCATTAACTATAATGATACGTTTTCAATTGATTCATAAACAGTTTTTTATTAACAGTGCATGCTTCATCCATTCATAACGGGATACAAATAATTAAAAAACAATGTTGCAAGTTACAACAGTAAATAGTGTAACCATGCTTTTACAGCTGCTACACCTGTATTTAAATGTGATAAAAACAACGAAAATAATTTTCTTTACTGCAACATGGCAAGCTCTTCCTCAGAAATAGTCACATTGGTCAATTGTTTTAAGGCGATAGCAGTGGTAAATCAATAGCGAGCTTTCGATTAGGTTTCAACCAGGGACGTTTGTTAATTTCACACTATATTAATTTACCAGGTTGCTGGTGTCTGCACAGCGATTACGCTCTTTTATATCGTAAGGAAGCAAGACCTTGGATTATCTATCTATAAACTCCTAATTAATGGAGTGGCTCTAGCTTACGCCTTAACGGCTATCAAGTATTATCATACAAAACACTCTAGTTCCAACTATAAGAACGATATTCTCTATTATTTTATACCGACATTTAAAGAATTGCTGAAAATGATGATATTAACATTGGTGTTATATACACTAAAACGAACACGGTATAACAACATCGACGTTTTTTGTGGTATAATGTTACTGATACTTCTTTGGTTGTCTGGGGTAAGTTTATAATATTAATGTACTCAGCGTCATATGTTTACTTGTATCATGCAAAAAATTTTAACTTGCTTTCCTATATAGATTATTTTCTTGGCAATTGAGTTTAGCCCGTCGTTGTGGAATAAAATTAGTGTCGAAAACGCGAGCTTGATGGTGATTTTTGCAATTAGAACGGCAATACTTATATTTGCTGCGTTTCGATTGCCATGTCATTTCGGGGAAGATACAGCCAATTCACAAAAAACATCGTTACTTGCGTTGAATCTAATTAGACTTTTGTTCATATTCGTGTCTTTGATGCTACAAGGTCCAGCGGCGCTTGATCGTAATCGCTTTACGGTTGTGCCCGGGGCTGTAATTCTTATCATAATTTTATTTTTAACATCTTTCAAGATTGAATATCCACAAAATTTACAGAAACCAGGCATTGTCAATACAACTATCTCTGACATGGTTTAAATCACAATTTAATTTAAAATTTTGCTTAATTTAAAGTGTAACGAAATTTATTTTTGTTATCTAACATAAAACAAATGCATAATTTAATAGCTCTCCATTTATCCAAGTCACTTTGATATGAAATTTTTTTGAGTTAGATTTTCTTCAACGTCAATTTAATATTAATTGTATAACGCAAAATCCACGCTGGTGAGCACAAATCACATGTTCGTAATATATTGCTGACCTACATGTCTCCAAACACTCGACGATGAGACCGATACCGCTTAACTGTAGAAGCAGACTAATTCAGTGAACCGATCACGATATCATAATTGTATCACGATCATGTGTTAGAACTCTGACTAATAACTTTAAGTCTGATTTATATGATAAGATCAATGAAACTTAACAATGTTATACTCACTGACGCAAGACATAGACAAGTTAAAACTCTTCCAAGGACTGATGGTCTGCGAAGTACTGTGCTCAAATTCGGGAAAAAATTGCTTGGCTGCCGCTTTTGACAGATAATCAGTGCGAGGTGATTTAATTGGTATACAGAATATTAATTAATTCGATAGGATTGTCATTTGGTGCGACAATTTAAGTTCATTGCAAAGAGTTGTAGGTACAAGCTAGAATTTGTTTCCCGCAATTAAATTCGTTTAGGAAAGGTTGATACACGTAATAGTAAAAGTAAATTGGATTGTTATAAATTTAGTATCAAAGCATAAGACGTTTAATTATAACCAAATAATGCTGTCGCTTGGATAAATTAAACCAACTTTAATATTAATGAGCCATGGTGCCACCGCTGCCAAAAAAAGCTTGGTAATTTGTAATATGCCAAGTTAATAGTTTCTAATATAAGACATACAATAAAGATTCTTTCTACAAAAGCAACAAAATAATAACAGAACAAACACATTCAAAACCGTTCTTGTGCAAATTTACCTTTGTACCGATATGTCATTTCTATTACTAGATTAGCGTTAATTATGCATAACTAAAAATTTTTAGAGTTTATACAGAACGATAGAGGGTTGGCTCTAAGTGAAGGAGATTGTGATTTGGTTAAGGCCCAAGGACTATTCATTGTGAACATTTCTACAATCAAGTGGCACACGTTTCGAATCATCATGCGTTCATATATCGATCTTGAAGATTCAACTTTGGCAACGGCGCTATCATTTTCTCTAACTTGGCAAAATTTCTCAATTAGTAACCTTTAACGTTGATTTTCGAATACTCGCAATGTGAATCAGTCTTGTGTACGTTATCCTGATTGTCGAATATGACGTCTATTTCTTTCGATAAAATTAGTTCGGAGAATCGATTCTACACCAACGCGTTATTACATATAATCCTGATAACAAAGCTTCAACAAAATTGAAAGCAAATTTGAAACCATACGCGAATTTTGTTTGAAAAATAAACAACTGTTCTGAATGCAAGAAATTGCAACAAACAACTAATTAAATAATGGGTGAGCTAAACATGTAGTTTACGAGGAGACTACGATTGCTTATATTTCGATCGTTTTGTTGAATGTCGGAAATAAATTCCGTTGTGTTTGTGCGTTGTGCTCCTTGTGTATGTGTTTGTACCACTGAGCGGAGATTACGGAGGTTGATCGATTGACATTAAATGTTGAGAAATCACAAAGAGCAATCACAAATATATCGATTACAATGCCACAGGTGTAACATACTTTCAATATTTAAAATGACAAAGCCAATACGCAGAAGAATTTTTTTCCGCAAAATGAGCAACCCGGAAATAATAAACACAGTTCTCAACTGCCAAAAGGCGATAGCAGCGGTAAGTCAGTAACAAATGTATCAATTTTCAATGAGAATATTCACCAATTTCATATTTTATTAGTTTGCTGCTATGGGCGCATCGCTCACGGTCTTCTATATTGCAAAGAACCAAGACATTGGCTTATCTATATTCAAATTCCTAATTAATGGAATGGCTCTAACCTATGCCATATCAAGCATCACGACTGTGAATACTGATGTGAACAATAATACTCCTTTTTACGTTTTAGAGATATCTTACGAATTGCTGATAATGATGATATTGACATTGGTGTTATTTACGCTAAAGCGTACACAATTTACTGAGTGCGATGCTATTTTTGGCACAATCTTGCTGGTTATTATTTGGTTGTCTGGAGTAAGTTTACATTATTAATGTACTCGGCGTCATTATCTGTTACATTTACTTTCTAACGCCAAATATATTTAACTTTGTAGGCTGGTTACTTGGCAGTCGCATTGAGCCCGGCGTGGAGTGACTCTGTTAACTTTAATACAATCTTGCTTATACTTTTTTTACTTAGAATTTTAGTAGTTATTTTTGTTGCGATTCGATTGGCATATCATCGCAGTGTGACTACGCTTAATCCACCAAAAGCGTCGTTATTTGCATTGAATTTGGCTAGACTTTTGTTCATATTCATCTGGTTTATATTAGACGGACCAGTACTCATTGATTCTGACACCTATCCAGTTGTATTCGCGACCATAATTATTATCGGTGTTTTGGTGTTGACGTCTGTCAAGATCGAATATCCTGACATTGTCGGTGCGGCAAGGCCCCCTGCAGGGGTCCCTGTCGGGGCGTATTTTTCCCCTGTCAATGCGGGAAGAGGGTATGTTTCCCCTATCAATGGGTATGTCACCAATGCAGGAAGAGGGTATGTCACCACTGTCAATGCGATGGGAAATGCTCCCCCTGTTAATACAGTGGTCCCTGTTAATACAGTGGTCCCTGTTAATACAGTGGTCCCTGTTAATACAGTGGCTCCTGTTAATACAGTGGCTCCTGTTAATACAGTGGCTCCTGTTAATACAGTGGTCCCTGCTAATGCAGTGGGGCATGTTTCCCCTCCCCCTGCAAATGTCCCTGCAGAAGCAGTTTGATTTATCATACAGAAAAGAAATTTCGTTATCTGTTTTATCTAATATATCACCAATACTGATGTTTACTCTCAATGGTTTGTGCCTAATGTTAATGGTTACTGATGCAAAACGTACAATCGGCATGTGTTACACAGAAAAGTATCGTCTAAGAATATGCGCCTGGGATTTCGAATGTTGCTCGCGGATGTAATGATTTGAATCTAGTGCACAACGGCCGAGTTTTTGATATACTCGGCGAAAGTAACGTTGAGACGACAAAACCCAAAACTTTGTAGTCAACAGATACGGTGTGCTTTGTGTGTGACATTCGATGGCACAAACTTAGCGTTAGTTGTACTTTTAAGATTATCAGTTGATGTGAGGAAATAAGCTTTATATTACATGTGAAATATTGTTATTGTACTTAATAGTAAAGACACGGTACATTTTATAGGGGACGAATTTACGTTCAAGTTCTGTTACGATATTTAATGTTGTTTAATCGAACTGCTTCTTCATTACATAACTAATTATATTTTACCATTTTTTAGTACAATCGATTAGCTTCAAAAAAAATTATTGTGGGATACAAAGACAATAGAATTTTCAAAGATAAAAATATTTTTTTATGTGCGCAAAGTATTGAAAGCGACGAAGACGATATGCAGATTGATTTTCTTCACTGCATCACGGCGGACGCCCCGACTCCAGATTAATCATGCAATTCTTTGGAGGCGGACAGTAGTAGCAAACCTACAGTCTTCTCATAATAATGTCAATTCCTTTTACGAGACAGAAAAGATAAACATAACGACTTTTTTTTTATTTTTGTGATCACATGAATGATTATCACCATCATTATTATTACTATTACGTAATGGTAACAAAATTCCGAAAAAAAATTTCTTAGACTGACAAGTGTAAGGATATGGGGAAGAAACCATTTATCGATCGCAAAACAGCAAAACATTTTCATTTGGTTCACCGATCACAGCGTGATCCACTAATCAACGATGCAGAGGCATCTTCGCACGTACTTGTAGAGCACATTCCCTCCAATTTGAAGGTAACATTCCATCTTCTCTGTTGAGGTGGTAAGAATGTCAACGTCTCCTAATCTTTCATTCAAATTGATAGGGCAAAGTTCCACCCATCCAAAGTGATGCGCAAGTCGACGCAGAAAAGTAATTTTCATAGATTTGCACTCGTTATATTTTCTCACTGTGGCCTTTTCAAACCCTCTTTTCGAAAAACTCAAGTCGTATAGGTCAAGCTGCGCTGTATGGTATATATTTTGATGATGCCGAATACAATTATATGCAACATTTGAAGCCAATTGGCACTGAAGCAGGGGCTGTGTTCATAGAAGCGCCCGCGCGTAAAGAAAAGACAAAGGTATTTGAATTACTTCTCGTTGGTCAAAATTATAGCAAGGAAGAAGAAATGGAGATAATTGATATGGGTGTATGATCCAATGATGCTTGCAACACCAATTGTTCCTACTGAGCTATCTAAAGTTGTTTTTTTTTTTGTCATGGGTCGGTTGCGGCTTCTTTCTTTCTCCGTTCTGACATTTGCATTTCTCGTGTAGACCTCGCTATTAGCCAGTATAGAGAAGAAAGCGGCGGGAGTAGATCTACCCCCCGAGGTTCTTCCTTCATCTTCAGAAATTCCGCTTGACGTAATCAATCAACCTGCTATTCCTGACGGTAAAAATAAATTCGCCGTCATTTATGATCGATATTATTGATTTTAACTCACAGTGTTATGCTATTTCAGAGTTGCAAGGCCTCCAACCAGATATGGACCCCAGTCTCCGAGAAGTGTTAGAAGCACTTGAGGATGACGCTTACGTGGATGAAGATGTAGGCGACGATTTTTTCGCTCAGCTTCAGCAGGCAAATTTTTTTGCAGATGAAGAGGGTGGCGCGTTTAAGAAGAAAAAGGAGAGAGTGATGGAAGTTGACGAAGACGACGAAGATGATGAAGAGAATGAAAATGATGAATATGACGGAGGGGATATTAGTGACAACGATGAAAATGATAGGCAAAGAGATGCGTGGGAACGCGAATTTAGAAAGTTTCAAAAACGCAAGGAACAAGTGAAAGATAGATCAGATGATAAACAATCCAGAATGACCGGATATTCCATGTCTAGCTCTGCCATGTTTCGTAATGAGCAATTGACATTGCTTGACATGCAATTCGAAAAGGTAAGCAATGAACTTTTAAATCTATTATATATAATACTCTTGCTGATAATTCCCCATTATGTTTTTTTTTTGCTCTTCAGATAGAAGAGGAATACCTCTCACAATCAACAAATTCTGATGATGATGAGGATGACGATGATGCTTCTCCCAATGCTGATCAACCACGCGAAGATCTCGACGATATATTCGACGATTTTCTGGAAAAATATGAAGTTCTCGGTAATAAGATGGCTCCCAGACTCGCGGGCACATCAGCCATAAGAGCATTAGATACGATTCGACGGGAACTAGGAGAGGTCGTCATTGAGGATGAAGTAGACGGAAAGCGAACCAAAAGGAAAAAGAAAGAAGAATATGTGGAGATTGACCTGACAAGTGAAGGAAAGAATAAGCGGGAGGCTTGGGATTGTCAGTCGATTTTGTGTAAGTAGATTTTCTATATTGTATAATTGTTAGTATCGGAATGAGGGAAGGAAAACATGGATCGGTAAAAATCACTAATAATATTTGTTATTAATATGTGCAAATTGTAGCAACATATTCTAATCTTGAGAACCACCCTACATTAATAAGAGAAGAACGTTACCGAAAAATTAAAATACACCCGAAAAGCGGAATGCCGATTATAGAAAAAATGGAAAATGTATCAGCCATTTCAAAGGAGGAAGCAAAAAATGGTTACACGGATTCTCTTTCCGACAGCGAAGACAGTATTGAAAGTGTAGAACCTCGAGGTATGTAAGGGATGCTTTGCATAAAGTCGATTTGATGTGATATAGTCTACTGTATTAAACTCGTGCGTCTCTATCTATAGTGAATAGGGGAATAGCACGATCTCGCGGTGAAGCGGCAGATGACAAGAAAAAACGAAAAGAAACTGTCAAGGCTGAGCGGCGGGTGAGTACAGAGAGTTCAATATGTGATATTTATTACAATTAAATACTCTTTTTTGTTAAAATTGTTGCTTCCTTGTAATGTAGGCTCGTAGGGCAGAAAAGAAGTCACACAAGCGAGCATTCGCTCGAGAGCATACGAAACAAACCAAAATGGTTTTGCGTAAAGAGAATAATCATGTTAGCGCTATGCATTTGGAATGAAAACTTGCGCCCATGGGTCGGTATGGTTTCTGGTTTTGGCTGAAAATGATGCAGTGAGTGCGGGAAGCCCAGCAAATTTATATACTCAATACCTCGACGTCCGATGATACAGAATGTTGTTACATGTTGGGTGGGCGGGGCGGGGGCCGCGAGGCGTTTGGATTCCGTAAAATTCTTACGCCATTTATAGACAAGCCCTTTGTTTTTGGGCGATGGTTACCGTGTAAATAGACTTAATTACTTAAACGTTTAATTATTATCGTCACTCTGATATTTACCACTTATGTAGCTATACCTGGAGAGGAGGGCACACTTGTTCAGCTTGCTTTTCAATTCCACCTATATAGTAATAGTAAGATGACCATGAAAAAATTTTTTCTTTTATTGTGTCATATTTATAATATTAACTAGCTCCTCGCCTTGGGAATTGTAAATGTTGGGATGGTGCTCATTAACTATTGCTAAATAATATATTAATACTAATAGCAGCAACGTAAATATTTATTGCACGCGACATATTGATGAACAGATGTCATTATAAAAACTGCAACCCAATTCTGTAAACTGTCAATAATCAGTTGACTTCTGTTAATTACGCAAAAAGATTATGAAAAGTTTGCAAGAAATGGAGCGTATTCCAAGGTTAAAATTGAGGATTTTGAACCAAAAATATCCCCTTAAGTGATAACAATCAAGTTATAGTTTCAGTATCATTCCGTATGAAAGAACATTCAATATATTGGCTACAACGCTATATTAACGACATCTCATTCTGACTGCAATTTTTACGCCTATCCGCGAATAATGTCTAGGATACACAAACCATTTCGTGCCTGTTTTCAACCAGCCTTCACTAATCATGCCATCAGCGGAACAACCTCTGTATGGTGAGGCAATTCAACCAAATCCGGTTTATTATTAATGGAGAAGTCTACAATATTGTATAAGAGTATAATTATGAGAACTCGTCGTATTTTCTTGCCAGAGTTTACCTAAAATAAAGAAAAAATTCTGGTCTACAAACTGATGGTTTATTCGCTAGGCAAGGTTAAAGACGCATGCAAGGCAATAAACCCTGGTTATTATATGACTATGGAAACTTAACAGCAGAAATGTGTAGACCAGCGTGTAGTGTTGACACATTCTTTAGAAGACAAATACAAAATGTAAACCACACAATTTCTTAAAGAAAATCCCAAACACGGAATTAAGATCTAAATATTGAAAACCTTTGCCGTTTTCATAGCACTGAGCCTGCTGTACTTGATTTTTTTACAATGTCAACAATATGTTTTACACAATCTACGTTGCTTTTCGGTATAGTTTTTTAATTAACTCGAAACTACCATCAAACTTGAATTTGGTACCATGAAATTTAATCATAATAACCGCAAATTACTAAATATAAATATAATCAAATAGTAATATTATTTTTATTCTGTCCTCCCGCATTATTATTATGAAGTAATCTTTAAATGTTTCTCATCTTTATTCAATCGCTTAATCCCATCGAATACCAGGCTCAGCGTACCGTTAGGTCCTTTCCCTATAATTCGTCTTCATCGAGAATGTAATTAATTTGTTCGCGTACTGCTTCATCTTGGATACCAAATAAATGTACTTTACGCGGACTGAGATAATAAATTTATTTTACTTGTTGATCGGAATGGGGTACGTAAACGTTTTGCGCTCAATCGTAACTGTATTGCGCAGTCGCGTCAATGCTACAATAAGCTTTACGTCTTGTTATTAAATGCTCATTTACTAATTTTCTCTGTTGTTCTGCTAATGTCGTATTTTTGTTGTAATAGTTTCTCTCTAATTTAGCCTTAATTAAATGTTCTTTGTACTTTTTTAGTAAGTCTCTCGCTTCTTCTACCTTACGAGCATTATACTGTAAGCCGTCCCGAAAATGTTGGCACATGTCACATACTGTAAATCTGTCGTTGGACTCATTATTTGAATATAAGCGTTAATTGTTGTCATAATTTGCGAAACGCATCATATTTTAACAATTTCAATGTGTTTCATTTTCAACACCTGTAATAAAATTACGATAGACTGATTTATTAACTCTTTGCGGCTGGCAAAAGTATAAGCGATTGAGTAATGCGATTGAGACTTCTACCAGGACTTGGTAGTCCATGAATTCCCGCATAATTTTTGAGAAAATTTTTTCACGGCAGTAACAACGGTTATATCAATGGTTATTTTGGTTTTCCATCGCGACACTCGTTTTATGTTACCATGAACGCGCAGTATTATACCATTCGTTTTCCAAATGAGTGCGGCCAATTCCCAACATGTTGAGATACGTTTTTTGACAAAGCGGTGTATTGCAATCTCAATAGTAAAACGTTCGCTTATTAGTACGCATTTTCTTTTTAAGACGTCGGCTGGAAGTTATTTCTCCGCCATTCATCGCTTTCAGCTGGGCCATTGTAAATATGTCGTGCTCGAATCGAGAAAGAGCTTGAAACGCCTCACATAATTCAGCAAACTTCCCTCTCGGGATCATTTTTGAACAAGCGCAATTGCAACCTATCTCCAAAAAACGCATGCTTTTTTATATTCGGTATAACCATCATAATTATCATTCTTCATATACGGGTATTCCTATGTATTATTTTTTATCATCATAGTAATATTCTCAACTAAACAAGATATAAGTCTGAAAATATATGCTAAGCAATTTTATTGACACAGATCACTAATAGACCACACACTATTACTATTGAAGCCACTATCTAGCATTGTCTATCACTATCATTATTATTATAGTTTATTTAATCCATATATTCAGATATTACTTTGCATTTATTATTATGTAGTAAACGACTCATTTTTGGTGCACACACTAACATGGTATGACAGGATAAATGTGTTAGTATTAGGTTGTAAAAGCAACTCAATATAGTTCTGCAATCTTGTTCTTCAACTAATACTATTACTAATGCAGTATTGACAGCAATAAACCAATAACAAGCCTATCCCACCTTTTGAAATAAATGTTCTTACTATTACTATTAGCAGAATCTTGCACCCTTTAATTTTCTTCAGAATTCACCTGCTTTGTGTACTGCTTTTTAGGGCTATTGCCATGGGGGCTGACTCTAGCCTTCCTTTTTAAGGTATAGCTGCTGTCCAATGACATTTCACTGGCTGCTTCTGAATAAAATGTTAGTATTAGTATTAGATATAATTAATAAAAAAAAACTTCTTAGAAATGTTGAATATGAATGTAGATTTGATACATTTTGGCTTACCATTACCCTTTCCAGACTCCCCAGAACACAAACTGTTTATGTCTTGCTCAGGTTGTGCATCATTGAAATTTATTTTGAACACTTCTTGTAATCGTTCAATATTATCCTGGATCTTGTGTTGCCATCCATTATGACACCAGGCATCTCTTGCATACATAATGTTTCCACCATGAAGATCACAATGCACTAATCCCGCGTCATGAATAGCCCACAGATAATTTGCAATATCGTACAAATGCCGTAATTTATCCATCCACGTCAATTTGTTATGACGTGATTTTTGAGATTATAAGCCACGGTACCCGCAACGATTAGGTAACAGAAAATCTCAAATACAAAGACAGTAACCCCAATGCTACCCATGTAAATGTTGCTCAATGGGTTAAGACAACATTGAACTTAGACATCAACCCAACAACTGTTGGACGCTTACTGAAGCGAAATGACATCAAGGAATGTGAAAATGTCTCTAATTCCAAAAGATCACGAACTGTTCAATATCCTGATCTTGAAAACGCAATGTACGAATGGGTCATACAGTATCAAGCTCATGTTACATTAACTGATGAAATCTTAAAAGAAAAGCGAAACAGTTTGCGAAGCTGTTGAATATACCCGAAGATAAATTTAAATTTTCGACTGGTTGGTTAGCAAAGTTCAAGAAAAGACACAATATTACAAAAGTAAAACGACATGGAGAAAGTACCTCAGCAGATCATGCTGCAGTAGATATCGCTATCCCTGAATTTAGAGAACTATTAGCGCAATATAATCCACAACATGGATGAGACGGGATTGTTTGTTGATTTATTTTATTACCGTAAACTGCCATGAATAAGGGCCCACCTTCATCATATAAGGGGGCTCTTATTCATGGCATGTTTGGTTGCGCCTTAAAAACAATGCAAAATGATCTACGAATCATCACGTAACAACTGTCCACGTTATCTCTGTTTATTACATAATCATGATTCATATGATTTTCAAACCCGTCTTTCTATTATGGTTCGCATTATTTGTTGTTATAACTCGCATTATGGTTAAGCCAGGATTAATCGCGCGTTGATTACTCGCGATATGATTCTGTAGTAATACGCAATAGAGGATTAGGCGTCGCCCCATCAATAGTTAAATCTAAAATGATCTCAATGGTACAGAAGACGACTTAATATGGAAAGAAGGTGTTGTGAGGGAGGATGAACCAGCTATAGTTTTACCAGAGGATGTTTGTGAAGACTATGAATCATTATAATAAATCAGCGATACTAAATAAAGTAATATATGACGTCGATTGTTGACGTGGTTATTTCATAGCATTACGGCCCTTATTCACGGCAGCATTTTTCATATGAGGGGGCCCTTATTCACGGCAGGCTCTTATTCATGGCAGTTTACGGTATATTATTATATAGTATCACGTGAATTCAATATTACTGGTTCTCCCTAAATGCAGGTTTCTCTCTAAGACCTCGGTCCCGACGACCTGCACTTAGTATTAGGGAGAGTCCACTGTATTTAAAATCGGAATACAGATTTTAGCGTCGATCATTGCCAAAAGATAGGCTGAGGCAACAAATGAAAAATGTGCGTTCAATCTCTACTATATGTCAATATGGCAAAGACTGACCAAGATTACTATTCTGAAGCCAAGTATCCGAGTGTCATTAACACTTTTCTGTGAGAGCTTCTTCAATCGTTTCAGCAGAATATGTGAACTCTATCAAAAACACAAGATCTATGCCAAAAAACGCGTATCATTTGTTGTACAAAATCACATGAAAATCACGGGCGCGCATACCGTGGCGACAATGTACGCGTAGTCAATCCGGCAAACATAAAATTTTCGCCGTCTCAATGTCAAAGAGCATACTATGACTTCCGATGATCTCTTATGCTATCCTGGTAAACTTTTTCTTTTGCAACTCTAAAAATTCATTAGACTAAGTTGATGGCATATTAATACAGTATGTCATTATCATAGAATACTGGAATCGAGCTAGCACAGAATGGGGGGACGTTATGGATTGGGACGTCTTTTTCGTGACAAAGTTTCCCAGCGCATCGGTTCACGATTCACACATGGCCCTTTCGAAAGAACTGGAAATACTACTGAAAACAAATATCGCGGGTGGTCGCAAGTACCAGAAAGCTTTAACTTTTCGGAACTGTCTCAAGGTCAGTTTACTTCCTTTAGATGTGTACCTTTAGATAGAAGGGATATGCTACGCCCCGCGGCTGCGTGTCGTTTCAGGTTTGCTGCGCGTTTACCTGGAGGGGGAGGAAGAACACTGTGGTCTTTAGTATACTAGAAAGTATGCTTCATCCAGTGTGCACTGTTTCGTATATCTGAAGGGCCTGACAACACCCTGCGGCTGCGCGTCGAGCGATTCCATCGCAGAAGGCATGCTGCGTGTATGCCCGAAGTGGGAAGTGTGTCATGGTCTGGATCAGCTGGATCCCATCATGCCATGCGATGTCAGGAGTGTCTGAGCCATATACCTGATAATTTATTACATGATATAGCAATGATAACGTATACTTATGACACGATATCTTTACTAGAAACAAAATCTGCTTACAAATTGGAACCTGGATAAAATACGGGAAATTGCTGCTCAAGAGAGAATCCAAAAGGTCTGTATTTCTCTCTATGAGTATTTCTTTTTGAATTTTGTCTCACTTTTTTACACAGAAGAAGATTGATTATGAAAAGGTGTGTATTCTGCAGATTTAAATGCTTCATTTTGAAGCAATAAAAATACCTGATTTTTTTTTTTCATGATAGAAAACCATTGAGTATGTTGCAGTATTTGCAACTGCAGATGCTTCTCGGAAACATTTTTTGACAGAATCAACTGAGCCCAACAAACGACTGAAAACAACCAGGTAATTATGATGATAATGAGAATTGCTATGCAGTATTTTCCCTTAATATTAAACATTTAATCTTTTTTCTAATTGTGACTCTGCCAATGAAGTGTCTGAACAAGGGGATCCTGAGGATACAACACAGCTGTCTGGGTAGCTATTCATCATCATTATTTTCCGATTCATTTTGTTTATGAGTTATGTATAACTCTTCATGCATTCAAGGGCTGGCGATTATGAAGATAATTATGATCAAGATGCCCTTGAACAGATGAATGGACAAGATTTTGAGATAGTCTTGAAAATAAATGACAAATGCATTCGATCCATTATGAATGAATGGCGTGAAAAAGCCAAATATATCCCAAGTATCCACAAGCAGGAGTAAGTATATGTTATTTCATGTCAGTTTTCAAATTTCTTATTAGTATTAATTCTCAATGCTCTATTACAGCTTGCTAAAGTACAGTATCATTGATACCGTACAAACATCTGCAACACATGCACAGAACCTCTTTAATGATATCTGGGATGCTCTCATTGAAAAATGCGAGGATATTTTGAGATCTGACTCACAAAACAAGACTGACAATAATAAGGAGGTGAAATTTTATGCGATGGACCTCTTCAACACAGCATACAATATAGTAAGAGTTTCTGAGGCAATCAAGCTTGCAAAAAGCAAGTTGGAGCCTGTGGAATTCATTTACAAGAAACGGGTATTGGATCTAGCAAAAGTTTTGTAAATACCAGGGTTGTGCACGTTGCTTATGAATTTTGCATTAATATTAATACATACTAATGTAAATGGCTTCGTTCATAGTTGCAAACAGATCCAGAATGGCGAAAATGCTCTGCAAACCAACCAGAGTGAATATAATTATATAATCACATTCATCTCGCATATATTCGATTTCCTCTTCAAAGATCTTGAACACATTAAATCCATGTGGTATGTTAAGTGTCTGAGTTAGAGTGTTTCAACTCTTGTTTATTTACAGTAATAGTAAAATAATAGGGGCGAAAAATCATTACGAGCAGCAGCAGCTCTATTGAATAAGAAGCAAAAAGATGATAGCCGTCGGCGTTCGGGCAGCAAAATCGACCTGATCATGATGTTGAGGGAAATACAGCTAGAATTCTTTGTAATGGAAGTCTCTGGTTCGCCTTTGGAAGGCGACCATACACATTTTGTCGGTGATCGGAATAAGATTGCAAAGAACCTTAAAATTCTGCTCAACTTTATGAGAACAACGTACCCTGGAAATTTTCAAGAATTTCGGAAAATCAAACTCTACGGAATTCAGATCTATAGTAGGTTCTCATGAATTGGATATTAAATTTTGTTTTATACTCACAACAGCTTCTTTGCGCACCAACAGAGCACACATTCTACGTGTACAGCCTGTCGATGCCGTTTGCAGGAATATATTTTTTCAAACACGAAGCAACGTTCAATTATCCAACGGTGACGTTCCTTTTCCCGAAAGCCATGCCAAAATTTATATCAAATTTGTGGAGCATGCGGGTAAGCATTCGAACATTGATTTCTTACAAAGAACATAATGGTAACTGAAATCTTTTGAATAGGAGACGATTTCTGCAAGCGTGGAAAGCATAAATTCATATGTGATGAGTAGTCATTCGTCATCAGAAAAAGACTATGGGAGTGAATTGGATGAGGTGACAATATCACCTGTTAAGAGGAAGAAATAATGATGTTTTGGATTAGCAGAATTGATAAAGCGACGAAGCTTACTAAACCGTTGTTACATCCTTGTAAACAGTGATTTGTCATAGGCACCTTGGACTTGCAGAATTTGCCCCAATATGAATAAAATAATTAATTATATACTGATATTCGCTGTTGCATTCGGATCACGAGATGTGGGGGGCAATATTTTATCATTCATCATTTATTGTCCAAATTAAGACTTTTATACTACAAAAGCTTCTTCACCTACAAATAAGGACGTTAGCAAAAATTCGACCATAATTTAAGACTAAAACACGATTGCTCTAAGCGCTTAAATTTCTATGACTTAATCTCGTTTTGCTGTCACCTTTCATATTTATCGCCTTTCGCAAACGGCTCTCTTCTCAAACTAAGTACCTTATGGCCAGAAGCAGCAAACTACTCAGATGGGGAAAAAGGATAATAACGTTGTCATTAATCATAGTAATAGTAAAAAAGATACTGTTACGGCAGTAAGTCACATGATAAAATCACATATACAGTCAAACCGATAAATTTGGTTCAGTCAAAAAAAAATATTGGTATATAAATTTTTATTATAATACCAGTATATATAAAGTCATTTTAATTAAGTCAGTATAAAAAAATAAGAGTCGTTTTGAGAAAAATATCATAAAGAGGTTTGACTGTATCTATCACACCAGATTACAAAAATCATGCTTTACAATACTTCATATAAAAAAAGTGCCAAACTTTGAGATCGTGACACGCGTCACAATCTCGGGTTTTCATAGTTTTTAATAAACATCAGGTGATAAGCAAGAAGAATATTCACGGTATCATACTTTATTAATACATGCAAGTGATAAAAAATAAATAAAGCTTCTATGCTGTAATTGCAAACTTGAGTTTATTGCTTGAAGTGTTGCCGGTAAGACAATATTTCAACTTATCTTGAGAATACAATTTCACTAATTCAGGATCATAAGGGAATCTGATTCCCATTTTCGCAGTCCATAACAATAAGCCATGTAGTCCATAATTTTCATGTTTTCCATTGCAGAAATAGATAGGGCCTGGTGAGCTCTACAGCTAAAGTGATGCAAATTATAATTATCAATCCTCTGAACTGTTTCAGAATTTCAAGTATGTGACATGGATTTGATACTTAGCTCTGGATCAGGTTTGGCTTTGAATAGATTAAAGTCTATTTTGATTTAAAATCAAATAAACAAACCAAACGCGCATTTATTATGTAAACGAGGCCCGGAACAACATATAACCGCAGTGTTATTAGATTACATGACGTTACCGGTACAAAATCGCACTTAAAAAATACTATAACGTAAGGTTCTCGTATGACATTTGAACGTCATTAATAAAATCCACGTCTAGAAATATTCTCTTCATTTATTGCAGTGTACAATGACGTTATAATAATTAACAAAAGGAAACATTATTAACCATTTACGATATTAACTAAAAAAGCAAGTAATCTATCAACTTGAATCAAGCGTTCAACTTTCAATTAATCTGTTTTAAGCAATATGGGATTTCGTGTAAAATTACAAAAGTTTGAGTTACGACACTATAATTTAATGAGCGATGCAAATAGTGAATTGGCTTCATTTTAAATCAAACGTGTAACCAGTTCCTACTTATATATCATCGTCTTGCCCTAACTCTATTTCTAAACTTGGCAAGCTGAAATCGGATAGCGGGGGTAACTGGTGAGAGCTGTTTCTTGTTTCAGACATATCACCAGTAAAGAAGAGCTTACTAGAATATTTATTCTCCTTCTCGAAACGCGATAAGGGTCTTACTTCATGATGATAAATTGTATTCCATACTTTGTTATTAGAAATATTCTCGCCCACCTTTACAGCGAGTTTTTTAATATCCCGCCAAATTGCTAACGCATCAGGACGCTTGTCAGGATCAGCGTCACAACACATCTCGGCAAGCTTCTTATATTCCTCTGGTGCTGAATCTGGCATCAATGGACGCAGTCCGCCCAAAATATCGCATACTAGATCTCTATCAAATGATTTATCTCTAAAAGGTGATTCACCAGTGGCAATCAAATGTATAATAATGCCAAAAGAATATATGTCTGATTTCTGAGTAAATTTACCAGTACAGATGACCTCTGGTGCGATAAAGGGCAAAACGCCCCGGATGGTTGATTCCTGTGAATTCACCGACCGAGAAAGACCAAGATCACATATAAATGGTTTGCTTAATTGAAAATCTTTTTCCTTCCCAGACTTGTTATGTGTATCATCATGCAAGACTATGTTTCCACCATGAAGATCGCAATGTACAATTCCTGCATCATGAATAGTATACAGATAACTTGCAATCTTCTCCAAACACTCAAGTTTCATTCTCCATGTCAACTTGTTAATGTTCTGATCCAAATAAGACAAAAGGCTACCATTATTAGCGTACTGCATGACAATCATGTACTCATTTGTCTCTGGTAGTTGTGTGACCCCGTGAATTTCAAGAAAAGCAACGGATTGACACTTGGCATGATTTCTGAACTATCAAATGAAGATAAATGCAGTCAGTTTAAATGTTGCTTTACGTAACATATCAAAAATTGCGTACCTCGGAAATAAACAATTCCGGCTCTTCATCCAGATTCTTAAAGCGTTTGAGTACAACAGTTTCTGGCACCCGCTCTTCTAGTGAATGATTTTTATATTTGGCAGTATAGACTGTACCATAACCACCAGATCCAATCTCTTTGAGTTCATAAAAGTCAGTATACGGCATATACTTTATATCTTCATTAGTCTGTAAAACTCTCTGCACAATTTCATCTATATTATGATAAAACACCAAATAATATGTTTGATCCGATGGCTCTCGAGTGATACCAATTATCCATATGTTATCTGGAGTTAGTAACTCTGGGTATTCCTCCGTTAGCTATTTGAGGAACAAATACAATTATTAAACAGTAATCAGGTCAGACATGCAATACATGCTCAAGTATACTTGCGCTATTACAATATACACGTGAGATAGTTTACCTGATAAAAGTCAAACGACTGAGCGTCCCGGCCGTCAATTATCTTTTTGAGTGCCACTTTTGTCCATTCACGCGTTATCGGTTCTAACCACTCTGCTCTATGCGTGCAACCATGACGTAACGAAGTCATTGCTTGTACGTTGGTCAACAGAGAGTATTCAATCCATTGTATATAGGCATCGTGTTCCCTCTTCATATTTTTCCATGACTTCATTATAAATAAATCCAAATACTTGTTGCCAGTCGTCCAATCGACAGGTCTTGGTGCTTTACAACGATAACAGAATGCATATTGACTTGGTGGTAATACAAATCCACATGCCAGACATAATCCACCTCCATATTTTTCTTTCATTAGATAGTACTTCTGCTCGTTTTCATCGTATGTAAATCCAATAGTTATCCAAACATTATTGATTAAAATATCCGGATGTTCACGGCATAACTAGTAAGTATAATAATAATATCAAGTCAACGATTACCCAAACATGTCAACAACTTGTGCATAATTGAATACGTTACCTGGCTATAATATGAATCATTTGTCTCTTCCGTTACCTCAAGTGGAATCAATTTAACAGTTACATTGTTAAAGGTAGGCAAATCACGCAAGTATACCCCATTTTTTTTAATCCATATACAATCAAATGGAATCCATTCGAAATAAGGTTCATTTGCCGTGTCACTTTGCATCTGAGACTTCTTGATGAATTCATCGAGTTGCTTATTGCTGCTTGTCCATCCATCGAATAATTCTTTACGACCGCAAACGCACCACACAGGACTACACCTTAGTATGCCACACTCAGAACAGAACCCATAGAGAGAATAACAGTGGTAAAAGCTTCTCTTGGTAACCATGTAGTAATTATCATTATACTTGGTAAATCCATATATCTTACTATTGCGTCTGCCAAGCCAATTTACGTATCGTTTAAATTGATCGACATAATTGTAATTGTGTGTTAAAAGAGAGTATATTCTAGCAAACTCGCTTACGAACGTTGCCGTACATTTTCCATCATTTCCAAGTAACAGCAATGTCGCCATTGTTTCATACACTTTACCATCCAGTGTGTGTTTGTAAACAGCATAATAAACAGAGTCAATTTGACTTGGCTTTATGTCAACGATTGCCGAGCAAGGAATCCATTTAAGCCTCCGTTTATGACTACCAGATATGGAGTGTTGAATTAAGTTGTCAATTACTGATTGAGCTAAAATTGACGACATCGTTTTTTCTGGAGTAAAAGATTTTCTCCAGAAATAGCTATGGTTTTGCACCACATTATTTCAACACGTGTGTATAGTCTAACCCCAAATTAGAAGGCCCCTGAACAATCCTTTACACTAACTAACTATGGATGTTGCACTAGTTACGATTTTTCCGAGACAGAAACGTATATGTTGTATGTAAATCCCGTCACCATGTAAATCCCGTCAAGGACCCCAAAATAAATAGATGAATGTCGTACGTAAATTCCGTCAAGGACCCCAAAACCGCATTTACATATGTAAATCCGGGATTTACATGGCGACGGGATTTACATACGACATATACAAGTAGTCTCAATTAAAACATTAAGCGATATTTAAATTTTGTTTAATTAATTTAGGAAAACCGGATCGAAGACCGTCCTGTTTAAATTAGAATAAATAATTTTCCTTCAATTTCATCGTAGATTATAGTTGTTGATGTTACCCTTATCCGGATACGAGTACGGGAAGTACATCGTATAGGGAGTGAGAAATTGTGCACGAAAATTAAATAAATTAGGTCACTTGTAGACGAAGCATTCAGTCAAAGCAACATCACCGTAGTAAGGACAGTGAACCGCTGAGTCTAAAATTACCAAATTCCTGGTCGGTGAACACACCTACGTTAAAGATATAATTGGCTTTCCCAACAAACAATTGCCGACCGTAACAATACTTATCAATGGCTTTAGGGTCCGGTGCAATCATTCTGGTGCTTTTATTATTTTTACACGTGTGTCGTTTTAATTGTAGCTGTGTCAAAGTAGTGAAATATGATCAAGCAGTCTTGATCGATCTTTCATTGACAGGTAATGGAACTTGGTGACAATGGTACTCCTTCAAAACATCAAAATACTAGTCAAAAAGATAAACTCCTATCATATATTTTGCAAGTGATCAGTGGTTATGGGATGTATTCCATGCTAGATGAATGATGCCTTTCAACTCTGTCATGGATGGACTTGAAAGGCTTGTCCACCATAATAGTTGTAATAAAGAAAAAGATTGTTATAGTAATATACTCTGCGATTTCGGAGTTTTTTATTTATTATTGTCTTTTCAAAATTCTGCAAGCATATAACATTTGCACAACTTCTTTTGTGAAAACAGCCATTATAACATGAAAACAAATGAAAATTTTATGAAAACTTCTATAAATCAGTGATTACCAAACCTTTCTGAAGAGTAGAAGATGCTTACTTAATACCACTTTACTATTACTATTACCTCTTTACTCAGCACAAGACAATTGGTTTGTTACACCAGTGATCATAACTGATTATGAGATGATTACAACTGATTATGAAACGATTATGAAATGAGTATGCACTAATTATAGTTCTCTTTTTATTTTGATGTTATCACTAACAAATGCTATAAAGATGCCAAAAAGTCTCAGTGAAGACCTAATTTACATTGGAGAATTGTATTCTTGCATCATGATGGATATTCAAATGAATGAATAAGAAGCTTATTACTATTACTATTACATATTAGTTGGTATACTGTTGGAAAGGTTTTGACTACATATAGAAAGTGGGAGTGTGTCAATTACAATAATTATAATGATAACCCTTTCATGGGCCCTAGTACTAGGGGAAGAATAAAGCTTTGTGATGCAGATGATTATGGAAGTATGTAATATTAATATGGGGCATGCTGCAACAAAGGCAGACAAAGTGAACATTATAGTATGTGACATAAATGAGAGGCTGATTATAATGTGGCTGTAAAATTGACCAGTGTGACTGATGATGTTTATGTTTTGAAAAGTAATAATGGTGCTCATTCAATGAGGTTGGAATGCACAGAAGAATGCAACCTCATTAGCATAGCATAACCAGGCCAGGCTGTTTGCTCAAATGATACCTGTGAATAATTCATTAGCTAATACTAAGAGCATTAATAACAAAATGCACCTACTGCATAACCCACCAGCACAACCCACCAGCACACTGATAAGTTCCTTCCACTGATGATTGAACACATCCACAATGGTTTCCCTTGCCTGCTGGCAGACAACCTTGCCATCAAACATGATCAAGCTGAGAGCCTTAAATCCATCACCAGGAGCATCAAATGGACAATGCCCACCTATACACTATAATGATCTGTGCTATGAACTGCAGGTCAGACAAACCATCATCATCCTTGGTACAAGCAAGTAGAATCCACACACAGTCTTCATAGTACTCTCTAAGCTGATAGTTCTATGTGTCAAGAACTGTTTTAGAGACATTAAATAAGTGATGTCGTTTAACTACACCACAGCAGGACATAATAAATATAAAATATACTTTATCATGTCCCAGATTTGGAATAGCCAACTCACATTTCACACATTTTTACTGGGAAGAGTATATTTTATGGTGATTGTTAAAAATTTGTGGAACTATAAAAACTGATTTATTGTAAACTTATTATTTTCAAGTTCTGATAAACAATGAAATTAGCCATGTTATTAATGATAAGCCACTTTTAATAGATTCACAAGAAGCACATATATCTGGCTTTGACAAAAACCTAGTACAAAGTTTTTATCACATTATTTCAATCTTCACATGCGTTATTCATGAAGCGTATGTTTTTATTTATGTTGCCATTTATTATTATTCTAATTATAATGGGAGTGAGAATTCGTTGCATCAAGCCTCTGAGACATGAAATGATAAATTACTCATAATGTACTGTACATAATGCAATAGTCTTAGACTTTGTTTCCAGTTCAGCTGACCATTTGCCACAGGCAACTTCAAAGCTGCAGCACGTTTGTCCGCATATACACTGCATAAAGAAAAGGAACAACGGTCGAAAAACAGATTGTTTTGTAAATAAACAAAAGTACGCATTATCGATGGTCAATCTATTTAATCTTTCTTAATTATTCATGCAAAATTTACTTAAATAGCAAAATAATTTCCTATTATCAATACCCTGATTCATAGAGATTAATCATTGATAGAATAAACAGCTTTAGCGGTCCACGTAGCTGTGCTGAATAAAGGGCCCACCAAATCATTGATAGAATAATACATTAGATGTAGGATATTTTTAATATGCATAGAATTATAAAAATATACGTACGTATTATGTATTTTTATTTAATTTATTTATGTATGTGTAAGACGCTCCTTGCTTTTTGGTAGTAGAAGCACGAAAGGTGATCACCACACGTGTGCCAATAAAGATCACAAAACATCACTTAAATAGCAAAGTCACTGACATACCTGTTTTATGTAACGATTACGGTCGCAAATAATACTAAAATTCCAAATATTTGGCTGATACGTGCGAAAAAATTATATAGTGTAATACAGTTTTCTCTCGAAATAGTTATGCTCGAATAGATTTCTGCTTATTATTATACGGTTTAAGATTTGCCGAATCTTATTTTATAGTGTGTTACAAAAGTCTTCGAACACATATATTAGCAGGCATAGCTTCAACACGACCGTTCATAATAACAACGTCTCCTTTATGGACGTAATTAATTAATTCCTACCAATGTATCGTAAATTATTGACCGAAAACGTAAAAAAAATTTAAACTAAATTGATTCTTTGTAAATGTGCATATGTACATTTAAGCATATTCGTTGCGTTGAATAAGATATTTAATAGACGCCTGAAGAATGGGCTAAATATTGTAATATGCCACAAGTTTACACCCAATGAAACTGCTGCAGAGTAATCTTTTACCGGACCAGTGGTAAGAGATATCTTGAAGCTAGGAAATTAGCACAATTTCCGAATGACGATTCATATGCACCTGAAATCGGAATAGCAAGCATATAGGAATGGAAATGTACCGAAAAATTACGTAATAGATTCCATAAGCGCCTCTTGGAATTGGGAAACGTAATATGTCGTATATAATTCATCGCATAGAACACGCGCTTTGCGATATATTAATATTATTACCCGATTCTTACTTTATAAACAAGATTTCATTTTTTTTTCGTACTGTGAAATATCGAAATCCGTGCATTTTGTACATTAAAATTGAATCCCGTTACAGGTATACCTGTGTAAGTCTAAAAACCTAAAAGCATTTAGATACAATAATCTTTATGATAATCGACCAAGTTGTTTAAAATATGCAAGTTTATGGACGTTATACTCCTGAAGAAATGGCGTGAACATTGTTGGGAACGCTTAACGTATTTCAGAAATAAAGTATATCTCTTCACTTATCAATCGTTCCCGCCTAGGAGTATACATTAATACTATAATTTTTTAGCTCATTTGATGTCACATAATTTTATATAAAGTATGGTATAACTTTAATTAATAACCTTGACATTGTCATACAATAAATTTAGAAACGATGGTTAGTTTACAAACTTGGACCTTACGACTAAACTATCACCAAACAAAGTCTAGTCAATATCACTTTGTTTAAATGGCAACGAATAAAGAAATAACTCGTTCTGAACGTTTTCGTTAGTGTAACTTCCGTACAATGAAATTAACGTCTTTCTTTCAAATTGCAAAAAGGGAAAAATGGAAATTATCACGGGCCTATTGTCTCAATTCGATATACCGTTTGCTACGTACGATAGTCAACTTTGTAACAATGAGCGTGTTACTCCGGACAGCTAGCCTATTGTTCTCACTTATCTGTTATGGCCACGAAACAGAGAAACCCAATAACAACGACAGATCAGGTAGAAAAATGTAGTAACGAATACGAAATAGTTCAACTCCTTGTCTTTTTCTGCTAAACTTTAATTTGTGATTGGTCGTGCTGCATGCGTTTATTGCGATACATTGATCTGAACGGTCAAAAGAATTTCAAATGATTGTACGGGATACCAACACATAACCCAGGAACTAATGATCTGGATCGTCGTACGACATGCTTGTATAGCGAGCACACACGTTCTTAAAATCTTGTAATAGAAGAATGCAAACTGAACGGAAACAAAGAAACCGCAAGTATTAAAAACAGTAAAGTAACTCAAGCCCACGGGCACAAGATTATGAGATTGGTGCATACACAGACTGACCAACCGAACAACAAAGACGATGCTTTTAATCATCAACATTAAAAACGTGATTTTGTAACATTTAATTAGATATAACTGACAAAGATGTTTCTCATTTACAATGTCAATCACAGAATATTACATCTAACCTTTTCAAGCGAATTGTCCTCCCTTCCCCCTTTTTATCGATGACCATTGTGTAAACGGCTGGCAGTTGGTACTTTTTGAATGTCTCACAGATGACGTTAAGATCTAGATGCTTATGCTTAGAACAGACGTAGCACGAGATGGTTCTACAATAAGCAACTCCTAAAGATATACTTTGTGTTGATGCCGAATATTAAGTATGGGACTGCATAAGCATATAATATTTTGCGGTAAACGTATGTAAACATGCAGGTATATAACGAGTTAAGCATTCTTGGCAATGATTTATCGGTTACCTGAAAAAGGGGGGGGGGTTCTAATAAACGAAAATAAACGAAAATAGACGAAAATAGACGAAACCCATTGTCGACTAAACAGAAATGGAAATGGGACATCAAGGATGACGTTTTCCAACGCAGATTACATCCATTTGCTTATTAATATAGAATATATATGGCTACCCGTCTGTCAACAACAATAACAGATTTCCCTATTGAGTTATGCTTTAGACTTGTTACACCGTTCGCTTTGAATGTGTAAATTGTACCGATACGATACATAAATAAATTCCGCAACCCTTTTCCCTAAAAAACCATGATCGACATTAATTGCAGATCATTTCCGTGTTACATGCAGTTAGTATTGTTCTTTGATGCTTGATAATTAGTACTGTTTAGGACAACAAACTCATTCTCTCCAAAGCGGACATTGTTCTCGAGTGTCTACGTTACCGTAATTAGCAGACATTGGAGCGAAACGAGTTCGAGCATGTAGACTTGCAGCAAAACGGACAAGACGCAATGTGATAGCGTCATTGCAAATGATTAGAAAAAAGTGACTAGTAAATATAACGGCAAACTCCCTCATTCCATAAATGAAATATCGGTCATATCTCGTAATTATATCCAAATAGTAGTTATTATTTTACAAAGAAATATTAGTTTGGCAATATATCCAGCTCGGTACTACGATGTTTGCCGAACAGTCTAATAAAACAACGCAACAACAATCTATAATTGTACAGAATTTGAAATGAGGGTTGAAACAATTGTTACCACAATAGGACGACTTTACACCCGATTGTTCTCAGCCAAAACAATAGAAATCGGTGGAAATGATTGTCCTATCATCAAACACTATATGCACAACGGTCGCATCCACAAACACCATATTTATTATATATATCACTCCCAGTAGGCCCTCATCCGTCTTTCTCTACCCAGCTCTAATTTGTTTACTCTTGTACTTTTAACCTAAACATTCCATTCTCTCGTCGTCTAAACAACGACCTACCTAATAACAAAGGACATTAATTGCAAACAATACAATACAATACAACAAACACAAGAGACGGACAATACACAAAAGAGCAGACAACGAATAACTGACTGACCAACAAGCAAACAATACATCGACAAGTCGTCTATATATAAATCACATTTCTCCTTCTAGGACAGAAATCACAAAAAAGAAATCATGTTCACCGAATCAACTGCTACTTCTTCTTCTTCTTCTTCTTCCGCTAGCAACAGTGCTGCTCCTCACCCAATCATAACAATAACCTGTGAAGACTCGGAAGACAAACAGCTCCAAATGAACAATTCGACCTTGATAAACGCTTCCACAAATGACAGCGAACCTCCCGCCTACTCGCAACTTCCGGTAACAGCTCCCCCTGCCGCACGACTTCCCGTACAGAATCCCTACGCCGAAATGCTTCCAACTTACGAGCATGCCAAAGTCGACATGCCTCCATCATATCCGATCCCAAAATATGCGGATAGTCCATTCGATGCTCCCATCGAGCCGCAAGAACCCTGGCCTCTTACCAAGAAATTGTACATTTCTGGCTTCGTATTCTGGCCTCTCTGGTTTGTGGGAATGGGATTCTGCGTGTTCGGCAGAGAAGAAACGACAAGATTATGGGGAAGGCGATGTGCTTACAATTCGCTCATAGTCGTTGCTGTATTCACATACATAATCATAGCCTTTTTCAGAACGGGCGGTCACATATTCTAAAACAAGAAAAAGAAAAAGAAAAGAAACCACCTTTTTTTTTCCTTTGATTTATCGAACAATGAACTATATTTGTTAAAAGCTGTACTTGCATAACAAGTATACACTCCAATCATTTAACAAAAAAAAAAAAAGAAAAAGAAAAAGAGGCCCGTATTCACACCGGGGGAAGATGGGAACACTGTTCATTCATTTTAGTATCGATTTCTGGGTTGGGTTGTTGTTTTTGTTTTTATTTTGTTTTATTTTTGTTATTTTATACTTAATTACGCAAGAACGTTTGTCATATCTTAATTAATTTGAAGAAGATGAGGGCGATAGACTGGGAATTGGGGGCTGTGCTCTCCTTCTTTTGTCTTTGCCCGTAATTTTGTGTATTGTTCGACTGATGACTATTTCTATCGTACTCATTTGTATGTATTTTTAACGGTTGTTGTTATACCTATTGTATTGTAATTTATATAATATCGAGAGAAGCTATCGCTCCCCTATCTATCTAGCTATTTTTTCAATCGCAGATAAATTGTACATATTTACTCTCTAGTTTAATGTTCTTTCTTTGATAGGAGGAAATAAAATCCAAGTAAAGAAAAAAATATGAAAAAAAAAAAAGAGAAAATTTAAGAAACGTAAAAAAAAATACATTTACGAATCATAGTTCTATTGAAACCTTTCGCGTCTCATTATAATTATGGGAGGGAATGTTTGCGGATAAGAGAAAACAAACAGTTCTCCAAGCTGGGGCCAAATGAGTACGCAAGTGGGTTGTGATAACAGAAAATAATAAAAGACCTTTATTCAATGAAATTAGGAAATTACTTTCGATCATGAATTCGGCTCGACCCGAACAAACCGCAGTTAGTTTAAAAGCCTTATTATATTATTATAGTCGTCGTCAGTTAAGCGCGGCGTAAAAACTAAAAATATAAAGCCCCTTTGCCTCAAAGTGATTACTAATATAGGTTTGAATAAGCGTTTATTCACCACAACCGCAGTACCGCATGGATCGAATGTAATATTAGCAGCAGTCAATAGCAATTGTTCTCTCTCGCAAATATAACTGTGGCTGGTATACATACAATGCTGTATATTGTTTGATAGTTATTGGCTTCTGGTCTGGATAAATCCATGAAGGTGTGACAGGTGTCCCCTAATCCGAAACTGATTAACAGGTATGACAGCTTGTCAAAGGCTATTGACACTTGTTCGCTTTTTTACAATGAGTGAAGTTCAATCGCTAGCTGTCAAGGGTATGTATTGCTTGTATATCACCTCCCTAATTACTTACAAGAGACGCAATAACTGTCCTGCATGTAATTAATTGTTCTTCTATTTACAATTAGGTCACCGTCCTGTCGTCGTCGTAGTCTCGGGACCATCCGGTGAATTACATAATTCCCCATTCTCGATAATGACAACTTGATCGCTTCCGTTAATGACGTCAATTAATCATATTTTTTGCATGTCTCAAATTAGGTACCGGAAAGTCGACGCTACTGAAAAGACTATTCCAAGAGTACCCCGACTATTTTGGGTTTAGCGTCTCACGTTAGTATTTATCTCGTATTATCAAACGCACACACTCAAAAAACCAAACACATGTCTTTGATGTAAAAATCAAGCTGCCGTCATACAATCAAATTAGCGTTTTCTACTCTACCGATCTGACAGATACAACGCGATCCCCGCGCCCCGGAGAAGAGGACGGAAAACATTACCACTTTGTATCTAGAGATGAGTTCCTGTCTTTGGTCTCACAGAACAAATTCATCGAGTATACGGAATTTTCAAAGAATTTATACGGAACAAGTATTAAAGCTGTCAAGGATGTAGAAGACTCGGGAAAGATTTGTATTCTGGATATTGAGTTACAAGTAAGAGTTGCCAAAAAAGTAGTTGGAATGGGGCATCAATTGATGAAAGGCGACCGGCATAAGCCAAACCCTATCGGATCGATTCCCGTTATTAACCACTTATTCATTTCATTCCCGTCCGGATATAACCTCTCCCTTCCCCCTCCCCACTTTTCTTCTCTTCCAATCACCTCTAATACCTTCCAGGGAGTCAAAGCGGTAAAATCCAAATCTTCCCTCCTCGATGCCAGATTCCTCTTTGTTGCTCCACCATCACTAGAAGTCCTCGAACAAAGACTCCGCGGAAGAGGGACAGAGACTGAAGAATCGATAAAAACACGATTAAAAGTGGCAGAAGAAGAACTCGCGTATGCTAACCAAGAAGGCGCGCATGATTTAATTGTCGTAAACGATGTTCTAGATGAGGCATACGAAAAGTTTAAAGCGTTTATTGTAGAAACTTATGAAAGCAAGTTTAAAAAAGGGTAGAAAACTGTAGATTTATTAATAAAAATAAAACAATCCCAGAACTGCTTTTAATATATTTATGTGACAAAACGATGATACCGATCAGAGGGAAGGTGGGGTGTGATGGAAGAAAATGTCTTTAGATCTTGATTCCAATTTTGGCTTCCATAAATGTATGGAAATCTACCATCTGTGTTGACATGTCTGGAGCTATAAAATTGAAATTAAACAAAGCATGATTAAAATCGTGCTAAGCAAAATCTCTCTTCCTGGAAAGGCGCTGGGTGAGGAAGAAGAAAAAAGGATCGATTAGTCTCGGCATTCAAACTTACTGTTCATAAAATCCTCTACATCGATCGTTTCATCTTTGCCAGACAAGATTTCCAATCCCAAATTGGAGTTTGGCAAGCCAGGGAAACGTTGTATCTAAGGTAACATGACATGTAATTTTTTTTAGCAATCGAGTTAAAGAATGATGAAATTTATGAAAAAAGAAAAACTCACATTCGAAACAATCTTCTTCTCCATCATACGTCTCATAGGAGCATGCAGGCCAAAAATTCTTCTCTCAAAAGTCAGTTTGAGATTAGTCTGAGTCTCTTCCCACTAATGAAGAAAATCACATGGGGTTTTATAATGCAAAGGAATTCGTTACGAGATTTTTTTCTAATCATGCCAAATTCCCCCTACCCAACCAAAACCACACCCTTACACACACAACCCACACATATTCTCTTTTCATTTTAAACATACTCTCGCTAATCTGTTCTCTAATGGATGCCGGTTTATGGCGTGGCTCTCAGACTTGAATCCGTGTCTGAATGTATCATGCACACCGAATTTACTTAATGTCGAGACGTCAGTCTTGCCAGGTGGTGGAAGTTCGCTAGGCACTATCCGAAGAGACTGGGTGGCTTGCTGAATTATAATGGTTGAATGCGGTGGTTAGAGATGGGAAATCTTTTAAATGGCAAACACTGATCGTAGAGAATCGTAGTAGAGATCCCATTTTTTCTTCCAGACATACCATGCTTTTTTGTGTGGAAAGGAAAACGATAGAGAAAAAGCCGAGTGATTATGATTACGTGTTTCTTCGATACGGTCACGTGTATAGGGTATTACGACAGCATGTCTATCAAAATGTTCAAATATTAAATATGATGTCCACTATAAATTCCGAAAGGAGTACACTTGATAATTGGTTTTATTCAAATCGTCAATTAGTTCATATTAATATGACTTTTTCACCAGTTTGCAGCACCGATAGAAGAGTGGTACAGTCTCGAAGGAGAAACGTTAGCAAATTTAGCAGATAGTAATAGTATGCGTATTAGTGTATATCGCTTTGCTGACAGAGACTGTGTTATTGTTACGGCAGGTTAAATTCCATAAACAATTAATACAAGTTTTAATAATATGTCCAAAAATTGATTACTTATTGTATATAGCGAGCTAATTACATTGTTCTTATTGCTGTATCAACAACATATCCAGGATATCGACTCTCGAGGATTAGTGTGGTACTCGCGTATGTATTGTAGGCGTTCCTGACAATAAGTTTTACTGTGTAGCGCTTAGTATTAGATTTGTAGAAAACAGTCAATTGGTATTATTCTGCAAGTACTTTTAATGCGTACACTAAACCTAGATTTATAATTATGATAAATTTTTAATATTAATGTTTTTACATACCTTATAAATTTGAAGTCTTGGACCTGAACAAATGCAATGTGTTGCAAAAGGAAAAGATTAAACTGATCTGAACATGATAACTTTTTATGCGCGTGCATAGATAATATTTGCAAAATTGTACATTAAAATACATGAAAAGCATCTTCAAGAAAATCAAGGTATGCCTTAGAATAACTAAAATTTTGCTCCAGCAAGGTAAAACAAGTCGTTTTAGTAAACATTCTAAAACAAAAATAATTAATTCGCGCCAGTGCAATGGTTTAAAAAATGTATAGATATTTTATATTGTTAAAGGAATAATTATGGATATCAAATAACTTGGCAAGTCACAACAATTTATAATAAAAGAGTAAAATGCAGTTTTAAATAGTCTTTAATAAAAGTGCTTATATTAAAAATAATAATAATAATAATTTTGCAAAATTTTATACCAATAAAACTTATACAATAAACTTTGATTTTAAGAAAATTTTCTAAATTAGAATTAATGACTTTATTTTGTAATGCAGACGGAAACTTTATTAGGTTATGAAAAATTTTTTTGATACAAAAATTTGTCTAGTTTAAAAATAAACGTCAGGGTGTTATAAATTTACAAGCTAATTTTTCAAAATACAAAATTAACGGTCTCCAGATAATAAGGTTCAAATGACATTGGGTAAAAAGCTTAAGAAAAATTTGCCATGTGTTGGACATAATAATAAACAATGAGTTTTAAGAACATTCAGCTAAGATAATTAAATTATATAATATCAGATGATAATCTACGCATTGTCTTAAAATGTAACTGTTGAAAGACATTATACATTTTTATTACGAAATGCTAATCGGTCCATCAAGTCAATTGCACAACCAGTTACAAATAATTGGGTCAAAATTTAAAGTGTCAGGAAATTTCCTAACCCGAATTTCATTAAAACTTTGATCAAATTGAAAGTTGATTAGTCGGGACACAATGGATTCAAAATGTAAAGTTAATAAAGACAACTGATAATATTAATTCTAAAAATACACAACAATTTATATTACTTAAAGCCAATAAAAGCTTGGGCAATAAACACTCTTTGTGGAAATGGCTGTGCACCCTAGTAAGCTATATTAATATTGTCATAATCTCAAGTAAAACATGTGTATTAATATGTATTAAGCACCAGAGACAATATGATTACGCTCTGTAACCGGTCTTTCCTCACATGTCTGTATAAGTTTTGTACTCTGAATGAAAAGTGCGTGCCTTTAAAAATCATCGTCATTCAAATATCACTTATCTGATTCTAGACAAAGATTCTCATAAACTACAAAAGTTCCGATCGTGCTCAAAACTCACACGCATTAAATTGGTTTACGTGTGTTATTATAACAGTCAACGTTGACAAATACTTTATTGACTCGTAGCACTTTTTCAAACAATTAAAGTTAGACGAATGTCTTTGGATGTAGCAAATCGATTTAATGATCGACTAATTGACATGTTACTTGCTGTTGTTTTCATCCAACAATCAACACATTGAACGCGCGCGGCCATTAGTGTATCGCATAGCATTGAACGTATGGGTCCGTCTGTTATAAGTTTATCCAAAGTGACAGTGTGATGTGTAATAGACACATATTAAGTAGAAACGCTTTCGGCGCTCAAAGGCACTTTAATAGAGCTGGATCGGGAAATTGTTGCGGAATTATTTGCGCACAAGAAAATCATTGCTTGTTTATGCATTATCACATGACTTTGAAATTGGTAACGAGTGAACGTAATTATAATGTAACAAATTTTTAATTAATTTAAATAATCACTGCCATCCTAATAACATCACCCATTATTGTTATCATCAGTAGGGATTGATCAATAAAATAACATTTTTGTTCTTTTCATTAAATACAGGGATTTGACCATGCCATGCGAGCTCTTTTTTTTCCCCCTATCCGTTTGATTTTTACGAAAGAGACTTGCATGCCAGGATCTCATCAAATCATTCGCACTCGAATGTGTGAAACGTTCTTTCATTTGCCGCTAACCAAGCTACAACTTTTTTTTTTCACTGGAGAACTGCTAGATTAGGAATATGGGATATGACCTGATGAGGATGTCAACCTCCGGAAAGCGTTTCTTATTTTCCAGTTTACGTCTTTGAGATAAAAAAAGCATGCAATACCATTTCTTCCACATGCGTGTACAAAAGATTCGCAAAAAAATAAAAAAAAAAAGAAAAGAAGCGCAATGGCAATATGCAAAGTCCATCAATCTGTGCACTCTTTGTTTCATTCCTATGGAGTCGTGGCAAGTTGGGTTTGTCTTTTAGACTCTGGGTATTGAAAAGCATATGCATGCTGTTAACGGAACACGGATTAGGAGATGACATTGCCCATCGCGCTAGCCTTTAATGAACCAGCTGGTTATAATCGGATACTTTAAGAGTTTAAAAAGTTATCGAATTTGCATTATCATTGGGCGATCAAAGGGCACGGTCACTTAATATCCCGTGTGGACGGTCCGGATAAAAAATGCAAGCAGTTATTCCCATCATTATCATTTCCGTTATTTATCGTAAAAGGAATTCCCCCATAGTATGACTGAAGCCTAGAAAGTAACATGATAGCAATGTTACTATAATAGTATTATACGAATTCGCAACATATTGACAACGCTAAAAATTACCATTAATGACTAACAGCGAATTAATCTGATTTGAAACATGAACAAGGCTTTTGTTCCCTTACAAAGATTGATTACATACTATATGATACATTAAACAAGAAGCATATTTCCCAAATCTTTGTTAGTGTATCTGTTCCACCGCCGAACATGTTTCTCTTTTGCCGAGTAAAGCATAACTGTAATTGGGAATAAAGAATAAATAACCTTTGGAAAGAATAAATAACCTTTGGAAAGAGTTATGTGTAATTCTCTCTTATCCTTGGCAATTGGGGGTTACATTGACATCATCATATGGCCAAGGTGTGACATGTTTGATACTGATGGCCACACATCCAATATGTCTAACTCGTTATTATTTAATATCGAACATCCATCTAAATGTTGAATGCACTCTGACACCAAAGTCCTGGCCCTGACTCTACATTCCAAAAGATAAAAGAGAATTATACGTCGCACACTATTCTCTTTAAACTCATTCCGTGTTACCGCTCTCGTGACTAATAATTCGCATCCCTTTCATTGTTCAAGGGGCAGCGAGTCTGTCACTCTTTAAAATAGCTTTAGCAACTCATCACTCTTCTCTACATCTGCTACACTTGCCATTAAACTTGTCTGCTGCACATTCGTGCACAGTTGTCAATATTGCAGTCACCTACGTCGAGCACTTTGCCTCACTCTCCCATAATTGTATGCTCAATTCGGAAAAGTCGGTTGCCACTATTACTGCAGAATGGTGACAGACACCTCGGATGACTTGGTAGAATCTGCAAAGAGATATCTGGATGCAGTATTCGGATCTGACACTGACACTAGCTTACTCACTACATTACCCGCCTCTTCCCTCATAACAAGCATCGACGCTGTCGATCGTGAGTTTATCACTTCAAAGACCTCACCAAAAGACTCTACTAAAACTTCGGAAACAGATTCAACCGCACCAACAACTAATGAAAAGAGAACATCAGTTTCAGCTGCTCCAACAACTGATGAAAAGAGAACATCAGTTTCAGCTGCTCCAACAACTAATGAAAAGAGAACATCAGTTTCAGCTGCTCCGACAACTGATGAAAAGAGAACGTCAGATTCAACCGTACCAACATCTGATGAAAAGAGAACATCTACCGATTCAGTATCATCTATACAAACTAATGAAACTGCTGACTCATCAACAGATAGCAATGATATCGACGTCACAGATGATACTCTACAGGTAAACGCACCGACGCGAACACAGGTAATGGGTGTGCTTGAGAACACATTAAAACGAAATTCTATGATAGGGACTGACAATGACGAGGAATCTAGCCCGGGAGATGTAGCAGATGTCACAGATGAGTTGTACATTGAGACAAACAATCCATCCCATTTATTCTGGGTGCCTGCTCATTTACATCCGGAAATAGCTCCTAATGAATTCAGAAAATGGTTGCAAACTCACGCAAATGCGGCTGGGAGTGGGGCTGGCACTATAAAACGCCGCAAAACAAAATTATCTAAACAATACATACCATCAGAGACAGAAGATGAGGAGGAGGATGAACCGGAAGAGAAATTGCCCGAGAAAAAAACACCCGCATTCGATTGGGAAGCTTTTGGAACATCTGATGGTACACTCAGTCCTAACGTGGAATCATCAAAATTAAATATTCTTCGAAGAAGTCTGAGCTTGGATTTGCCGCCGTTCATGGGTAAAGATGATTGAAAAGCCTTTGACTTGCACGTATGGCAATTGTTTACTTACTTTAAATTCACTCTCTAGCTTCGACGATAGATCACACGTTTGACCGAAACTCATCACCACATGACGATTCGCCCGTTCTCGTGCCCAGAGTAGCTCCGGCGCTCAAGCGAACGGCTCGCACCAAGCTCCGTCGTAACTCGATAGCAGGAGAGCAGCCATGCCGTCATGCTCCGCCCCATCGAAGAACAAAGTCTACTCAAGGCACTCCGGATAACGAAGCGAACATTACCGATACATCACCAGCTATTATAATCACACCAGATGATGCAGAGTCCTCTGTAGACGCAACTGCCACAGAAGATGCCACCGCAACCGAGACTGTGGCTATTCGCGTCACTTTAACAGATAATCCAGTACCCATTCGAATCACATTGGCTGATGACCCAGTCAAAGTTGAGAATAGACCAAAAAGAAGCAGCTCGCTACCACAAGGTGCATTAAAAGTGGCCGAAAATCTGGAAACGGTCAAAGAATCATCGTCAGAGGTAAAATCACAGTCAAATAGAACAAGCGTGCCAACATCATCGGCGAGTATCGGCTCAAAGAAATCTTCGTGGTATCCGTTCTCAAAGAATACGTCTAAATCTGATAAAGAGTCGAAAGCAGATAAAGACATGACCGCAGACAAGGAAGCAAAAGCAGATAAGGAAAACAACGTTGATAAACCACCAGAGAACACAAGCGGAGAAATTGTGGTAAAAGAAAAGTCAAAAATTTCGACAATATCCACGCTGTTTACGCTATTTTCATGGTCGTTGCAGAGTAAATCTAAACCATCTTCCGACGTAAACAGCACTACAACAGCGGCACCGACCACAGAATTGCCATCTCCAACAACCCCGAAAAAGACGAAATATTCCAACTACTGTCGCTTCCCTCTGCATGTAGAACGTGCTATTTATCGCCTGTCTCATATAAAGCTTGCCAACCCTCGTCGTCCATTACACGAACAAGTATTGATATCGAATATGATGTTCTGGTATCTTTCGCTCATCAATCAGCAACAGACTGAATATGGTGGCGAGGGCAACCCTAAAGCACGAAAGGAAGCGATGAAGGTGAAGAGTAAAGTTGGAAAGTCGAATGGTAATAGGAAAAGCAAAAAACGATCAAAGAAAAAGGGAGCATCGGGTAATCGACGCAAGCGCAATTCTGGTACCGAGATCGCATACAAAGCTCCTCAATATGACGTCCAACAAGTACAGATTGCTCAGCAATACTTGACCCCGCCGGCATCTCCTGCGCATAGTTCGTCGCCATATTCGTTTGTTGACAGTGATTCAGAATCAGACTGTTCTACAAATAGCGACGCGGAACTCGAAGGTCACGGATATCACCATTATGCTGATGATTATATATCAGACGGGACGGATGGTGAGTATCTTGCTGATGAATGATCCAAGGGTCAAAATGACCTGTATGCAGCTACGAACGGACACGGGTCTTCACCTAATGGGCATGCTAAGCCAAAGAAGCGAGCGCCATCGCCGCATCCGGAAGGACGCTTACATGTTGGTTTGGTGAATGGTCAGGAATCTACAGTAAAGACTTCAGATGATGAGGATGATGACGTTCCGCTTGCCTTGTATAAAGTTACGCAGGTATCTGAAAACTGAAAGTAGCAACAGCCCTTGGCTTTTTTTTTTTACTATTGCCAAGTATGTATATTATGTATTGTATTATGTAATCTGTTGCTATGAAAACAGCTTTCCGACGTCATGATGCATTGATGCGAGATTACTCTTTGGCGGACTCATTACTTGAAAGTTGTAAAAATTGGATTCATCATAATACTATCGATACGCTAGCAAGTATCTAGCACGCGATAGGAATACCCCGTTCGAAATTTACTTTTTTCTTTCTAGAGGCAGCAGGCGAACCTCCTTATTTTTTATCTATTCGGAGAGGTAATCCTATCTGTAATAGATATCACGTAAATATGCTTATTTAACTGTTATTAAAATGTTTAATTACAAACGCAATGTAATATTTCCTTTTCATTAATTCAACAAATAAGAGGTGTACCGACTTGGTTAGCTATTTTTTTTTTCTTTAAAATTCCAAGTTATACAAATCTTAATGGAAAGTTGTGATATCCGTGCTAGGAATGCATATTTTTTTTTTATAAATAATATGACAGAACAAAAGATTTCAAAAGTGGCAACGAGTTATCATTATCTGCACAATTTGAAAATAATCATAATTATAACGAATTGATATAAAAATTAATATTTCAGTGGACTTGTACGCGTGATTCATTAAATTATATTTTCATTGTTGCGTAACGCAAAATATCGTTGTATGAAATGATGCGGATCGTTATCGCGGTTTTTCGAAAATTGCAATTAACCAATCGAATGCACGTATTAGTACAATATTATCACAAAGTGGGAAGTGAGCGCGTTTTCGATCATGATTAACCCAGACAATATATATTATCGCCTTATGTTCCGTCGGCCAACTCTGTTTATTATGTAAAACTGATAACAGTTTTGAGACCTGCACTTGTGAAAAAGGAAAAAACAAAAACGCAAGTTACAAATTATGGTCTATTCTTCAATGCAAATTGATTGTCCGATTCAATCTAAAGAGTCTTGTCAAATCTGCCAACGTCTCATCAAATCTCTCTAACGATCTGTATATGTCACTCCTGTTTCCCAGTGCAAACAGGTTTTCGGGATTCTGCCTCTCATCCCAGTCAAGATCGATTGGTTTTTCTTGCGTTTCTTCAAGTTTTCGTTTTTCCCTTGTTTCATTATGTGTTGGTGTTGGTGTTGGTGTTGGTGTTGGTGTTAATGCTCATTTAGTGTTGTGGTTTTTCACCTTGAGTTTTCTTTAAATACTTCTAATTGTGCTGTAATTTTTGGTTCCATAGTAATGTTGGATTTAATGTAAATTAGTTTTATGCATTTATTTTTATATAGTAATAGAGATAATCCTATATTAATACTGTTATAGTTATTATTGTGGTTTATATTTATCACATTCTGGTGTTAATAGCTTATGAACTTGTCTTAGTTTGTCGAGAATTTGTACTTGCGTTGGGGAGGGATCCCTCTATTTGTTCTAGAAAAAGCTCAAGATTTCTCTCGGCAAAATCATCTTGAAGAAGCAATTAGCATGAGTAATTGGAAATTGTTTGAATTTAGTTGGAGAAATTGACCATGCTGATATGTAATCCCAGTAGAACATTCATTACGAGGACAGACTTGAAAGGAATTGTCGTCAACAATTGAAGAATTTGTGGCAGCATGCTCATCGGATAATGAATACCGTACGCTCCGAGGCATCATGTTCAAACAAATTGCACACCGAATATTACAACATTTAATATTCGTCCTTTAGAATCTGACACTATAAGTACTACAATTGATATGCCAGAACGAATGAAATTAATGTGTATTAATAATATCGAAGAGGCAAGTACTGCCAACCGATTCAAAAAAACAAAAACTTTGCATCGATTGATGCAATCGTTGCACCAGACACACTCGTTCAAATAACTGTTAGCCTATTATAATTATATGAATGGCGTGAAAAGTCTTGTTAAGAAATTAGGCGGGAAGTCGGGAACACAGATCTATATGACAATTATCAGATACAGCACTTTCACATTATCAGCAAGACTGTTGCGAAGAAGAGATTACCAATCGTGTAAAACAATACGCATTGAAAATTGACTTGAGTTTCTGGTAATAAGTATCATTACATGTGGGATTGCGGCCGTGCGATTATTGCTTTACTATGACAGAATTAAAAAACCTTACCACCATTCAAGAGGAAGTTAACTATACCATGTATGGTACATTATAACGATTTTCATAATTATAGAAACCCCTGAAATTTGTACACACGAAGTCTCTTGACTGCGAAAATTATGAACACCAAGTCTCTACAAACTACTGCGATTATTCACCTGCACTCGACTTCTTACCCTTTCCGTGGCACTTTTGCTTACCCTCTTGGTAAATCTTCGCGTCTCTAGCGCCAGTATTTACAAAAAAGGCTGCACGCTTACTGGCGCTTACTGGCGCTTACTAACGATTACTGCTTTCAGTTTCCTATTACATATTGAATTCAGAGAATATAACATGGTCAGGAATATTAGCGAAGACTTGCGCTGGAGAATAGTTTGTCCCATAGACGATTTGCCGTCAGCCGAGGCACTCGACACTGCTATTATAACTCAAGCCCGATGATAACTTTGCGCTCAACACACGCGGCAGGGTGTATTACATGATGGAATGCTATGAGGATGCACTCGCAATCGTGTTTACTACAAGTTGAACAGATTCGAAGACGCACTCGTCGATTTAAACAAGGCTATCGAACTTGAACCGAACGACACATCTGAGTGTTCAGAGTGCTGAACAGTCGATCTTGACTGGAATTTGAGGCAAGTTCCTGAAAACCTGTTTGCACTAGGAAACAGGGGTGAGACATACAGATCGTTAAAGAGATTTGATGAGACGTTGGCAGATTTGGACAAAGGCTCTTGAGATTGAACTGGACAATCGACTTGCATTGAATAACACAGGCCATAATTTGTAACTTTTGTTTGCGTTTTTTCCTCTTCATAAGTGCAGGTCTCAAAAGTGTTATCACTTTTACATAATAAACAGAGTTGGTAGACGGAACATAAGGCGATAATATATTGTCTGGGTTTTATTTGAGTAATCTCCACTTTGTGATAATATTATACTAATACGTGCATTTGCAATTTTCGTTTGTGTATGCGATAAAACTTGGAACAATTTAGTACAAAAGTGAACTAGTCAATAGCGTGAGTAACTGAAAAGGGCATTCTGCTTCTGCGTGAGTATTCGAATTTTAAAAATAAATTCGGGAAGACCCGACAGCCCGATTCGGAAAAAAGTGGGCTTGGCCGGGAATTGAACCCGGGACCTCGTTGACCCTAACAACGAATCATACCACTAGACCACCAAGCCGAAGCTAGTTATGGTTGGTTAAATATTATCTAAAAATGTTTGAATTGCCTTGACATTTAATAAGAAATTCAAATACAAGAGAGGTATTAACAGTAGATCCATGGAATCCAGCTTTATATTAATTGTCTTGCTAACTTTGTTTGGGTGGTCCTTATGCAAAAATAGCATAAATTATTTACATATCACTTATCTATTGAACAACTCGAATAGAATGATCTTGAGGCAATTGCTGGCACGCCTAAAATATCTTGAACGCCGTATCGATATTGCATAAAGGCGATAGATTTGTAATATGTGTGTCAACTTTGTCTCCGTCTTTTCGATGTCTTCTATCGATTTATAGGATTCATACCGATACTACTGGTTTGCTCTTCGGTCATTGAGCTTCCGTTACAAGATTGTGAGACGTAACCATGCCAGTAATACTTCATTAAGGTTTAATTATATATTGTAGTGCTGATTACTTTAACATACAGTTGCAATATTAATATACAGACATAAATATTTAAGATGCGAAAACCCCATCTTTTCTAGAGGCCAAAAAAGAAACCGTTATCTATAATTTGGCAAACTGCGCCTGTGACCACGTAGGCAAATTTATGTGCAACTCTGACGCCACAGTGACAAAAGGATTATGTTGCCACAAATTTGAACACAATGAGTCGCGCTAAGCCAGCATGTTTTACACGGGTTTCCGCGTATACTTTGCAACCCGTTCTGTTGACTTTTACAAAAGTAAAATCAACAACAATCTTATCATTACGCAACGTTGACTTATACGTAAAAGCAAAGAATTGACATACTAATATTCGAGAGCCGATTTACAGAGACAGGATTTTTTGAACTAACAACTTTAATTCTGACTTCGGTAGAATACCCTTCTTCGGTTTTGCCAAACTATACTCTGTCATTATTAGATAGACATTTGTTTTCTCGTTCGCATGCAATTTAATATTCAATAGACTGGTTTAAACAATATCAATTCTCAAGTGCGTGCACCAGTTTTTCTGACTCTGATTGCAAGCTATGGTTTGTAAATTATCGGAAATTAAAAAGACTTTGCAAAGTAAAAATAGGGAAAATAGTATTGTTTTTCCGAGAGATTATTTGAAATTAATAGTAATTATGTAAACAATCGGGGTCTTGCCATTAAATTTATTTATTTTAATTTCATTTGCTAGTCTGGTTAGACAATGTGTGTCATATCAAAAAAACTGTTTAGATATTTATGTTATGCTTATTAAAAAACAAAAAATGGAATAACTACCTATTATTGAGCACGTGTTTAAGATTTTTTAAAAAGCCTTTCGCCACGTTGACGAACGCCCTGAAATCATAATCAATAGGAAGCTCGACAAACCATATTACACCACTGGCTTAACGGTGCCTGTGACGCAAAAAAAAAAACACCCTTCCTAAATGTACGATTTGGCATGATTCTAAGCTTGAGATTTTGTGATAAATGCGCATCTCCTTTGTCAGTTCCACGTCTAAACTTAGTTACTGTTATTATTTCCTAAATGAGTGCGCGTGATTAATAGCTGTTATTGCTATCTTTGTAAATCGAACACTGTTAGCGTTAATAGCCGTTGTTAATAGTTTTTGTTACAATAAAAAATCACAAGTGAGCAGATAAGACTGTTGAAAGACTTGTTAATGGAAGGAGAAGTAATCAAATAAGACAAATAACCATAATCAATATTTTATTTAAATAATAAAAAAACATGTTAATATTAATATTGTCGTTATTATATAATCTCATGGTGTTACATGAATACTATTTCCTATAACGCACACCCTATAAATGCGCATCCAATGGTGTGCACTTGAGGGTTTTATCTCAGATGTTTTGTGATTTATTGTGAGATGTCATTGTGAAAGATTAAGCTTCTTACATCGACGCTCTCTAGCTGTTACAACGAGGTCCATTAAAAAACTAGGTTCGTCGATTATGCCTTGTACATTTACTATTTCACGCATATCATCTGCAGTAAAGTTATAATCTTTTACCAAATGAAACTTTTTTGTAAAATTCGAAACAATTTGTTGCAAGACATATCTATCGGTGATATAAACCTTTGCCGGGCCATTATAATTGCCTTGTCTGAAATTTTCTTCAACAGTTTTGCGTGTCGTATTTCTAAGTTCAGCAGTTGCGTCTTTGTTTGTAATCTCTTCGCTTTGCATTAAGTTAAAGATGTGCGTTTTGGAACTTGTCCGAACAAAGAATGTAGGTATGTTCCACGTTTTACATGACTTGAGGATTTGCATATCGGTCTCCATGATTCGGTCTTTCCAACAAATAATAACAAAGTCGAAAACAAAAAGCCTTTTATCATGGAAATACTGCCACTGGCTGTTTAATTGTGTGCCAGCACCTGGAATATCGTACCATACAAACTTATCAAATGCTGAGTTATTGTCTGGATATCGGCCTATCTCCATGGTTGTCTCAGCAACGCCAACTTTGGCCGCACCTTTATCTTTATCTTTACAACCTCGGAGAGCATTGATTAAAGAAGACTTCCCAGTACCAGCATGTCCAGCAACAGCGAAATGGTAAAAAAGTCCATTGGGGTCTTTGAGCATAGACTTAGCTTCTTCATATTGCTGTTTGGTTGGCTTTGCCTCTAAAGAAACGCTTCGGATTAAGGCATTTTCCTTTTCTAACTTTTTAATCTTGGCAGCTTGTGCTTTTTGCGTCTTTATTGCTTCATCCCGCGCTTTTTCTGTCTCTCTCAAAATTGTTTCGATCGCGTCGACTGTAGGGTTCTGTCTGCTTGGACGCTTAGTAACAACAAGAATGACATTAATCAGCCTTTTTACACCAAGGACAATACCCATTACAATAGTTTGATTAAATAAATTTCCCTAATAATAAATGAACGGTTTTGTCTAAAAACAAAAAAGCCGAAATATTAATTTAATCATGGCGAAGAGTAGAGACCCTCTGCCGACAAGGAAGTATTGGGGGAGCTTAATTGTACCCGGGTTCTATGGGGATATTCAGTGGGCTACTTTAATTTATCCGTATTAGTCCAAGCATGATACATATTAATATACACAAATCAAATCGGCACAAATATCATATTAATATTAATGTACTATTACGTCACATGATTATATATGTTATAGCAATGCAACAATATGTACAACATTATAATAAGTCATGAGACTTTTAAAATTTACTGGTAAATTATATTAAAAACGTTTATTTAAAATTTTTTTTTGTATGTAAATGACGATAAGTTTTATTGTATAAAATTTAAAGCTGACTGCGCGATAACAGCAAATTTAATTATTAATCTCACATGTAATAATATCCGGATTGTTGTAGCATATAATTATAATAACGTATTAAAATTGCCGTTATTTTCCCCCAAAAAGCGCAGTCAATTAGCTTCAACTTACATAAAAATTATTGTCACTTACATGAACAAAAAAAAAAGATTTTTATATAATTTACTAGTAAAACATACTAAGTGTAAAAACCACTGCACTGTCGATGTCTTATCGATCTAATAGTAATAAACTTGATAAAGCATAAAAACGCATACAATCAACTAAAATCGACTATCTGGCAATCAGTCAACAAGATATTAATATCAACAGCTGAAATTTAATTATAATGAGCAGATCGAACTCTAACTATGTAAAACTACTTATCCCATTATTTAATTTATTTTATTATAATAATTGTCACCGATCTGTTCAATTAATGATTATGATTATTAAGAAACGGAGCATTTTTTTGAAGCCCTCTTAAAGTTTGATGTTTAACTTCGTGGTTTGATTAAGTGACATATTCAGACGATCGTAATTAAAAACCAACTCGCTCTTTGTTTGACAGAAATACCGCAACACTTTGAGTGATAATTTTCTGATTAGAACTGTATCGACATATTCCAAAATGCTTTGACTCACGTCAGAACTGTCTCCTAAGACGATCGCTATTTCCTGTGCGAGTGTACTCGTTTACTTCGTTTGTCATTTAATTCCAATATTTCTTTCACATCTAATCGAGTAAAAGCAAAGTTGATACAGTGACACCTCCATAAATGCAACTTTCCCTTTAAATGCAACATTTTGTTCGGCCCCAAGCATGAGACTTGGTGAAGAAATGCAGCCTCCCGCTCTCTGTAATTGCGGGATTTACGAATAGATTTATTTAAATGCAATCACGTAATTTCGTAATCTGTAAGACTAAATACAATGTTAACATCAAATTTTCAAACACTACAATTCACACCACAACATTATCCATTTTTACGTGTGAATAAAGAATTCTTTGTGAAGCATTGTTAAGTGAACCAAGAAGGAAACAGATTGGTTATATTGTTGCTAGATCTAGTTGTGGAAGAAAATATTTTTTCGCTATTTTTTCAGTGTTTGAGTTAGAAAACTGGCGATGGTAGTAATATAAATACAGTCTACCCTCCATATATGCACCCTCCATATATGCACACCCTCTATATATGCACGCCAAGTCTTATTCCCAAGCTCGGGAGTTAGTAATATATGCACACCCTCTATATTCTGCATTGCACG